TCCTGTTTGAGTTTCAGTCATACAATGATCGAACACCCATCCCTCCACCAGTGCACATTTTCACCACCAATGTCCCCAGTATTCCCTCCTCTATGCCACTCTCCCCCTGCCTCTATGGGAGACAATTTCCCCCATACTCTCTCTCTACCTTTGGGCATTATGGTTTGCAGTACAGATACTGAGAGGCTATCACATTTGCTCCTTTATCTACTTTCAGCATCTGCCACCTCGAACCATCCCTCCAGCCATCATTGGCTTAGTGATCCCTTCTATATTCTAGCTGCCTTCTCCCCCAGCTCATGAGGCGGGCTGCCAACCATGGAGCAGTATTCTTGGCCCTTATGTCTACTGTCTGTGGGTGTCAGTCTCATAAAACGTTATTTTATATTCCACAAATGAGTGCAGTCATTTTATGTCTGTCCCTCTCTTTCTGACTCATTTCACTCAGTATGATACTCTCCATGACCATCCACTTAGAAGCAAATTTCATGAGTTCATTTTCCCTAACAGCTGCATAGTATTCCATGTGTAGGTATACCAAAGTTTCTTTAACCAGTCATCTGGTCTCGTAGCCCAGTGATTTTCAAATCATGTTGTGACCCTGTAGTAAAGTATAAAATCAATTTCACTAGCCATACCCATGTTAAAAAACAATCCAGTAAAGTGAAACCTTTGTTTTAGTTTTATGTGTGTGCTAACATAATGGCATCTGGACATGATGTAATATGTGTAGCGTAGTCAGGCCAACATGTGCCTGATCTATTCTTACACATTGCCAAGCAATGAAAGAAACCACTTATGACTTGACTCTTGTATTTTATTATTTTGGAAATAATGTTACAAGACAAGGTAGCTCACAGTGCTATTGAAGACATTGCTATGTCAAGAGAAAGCAGTCACCTTGGGAATATCTTTGGATACTAGGCTGTCTTTGGAGGTTGAAGCAAGGTTTTTAAGTCACAAGGGGCTTCTATGTTATACTACATTGTTCAGCTCTTAAGTCAAATCTCCCTTCTTTAGGGAACCCTTCACAATTCCCTCTCTTTTCTTCCTCTCTGCCCCGTTTTTAATCTGGTCTGTTAGATGCTTCCACAGAACATTTTTCAGAGCACTCAGCTCAGCTTTTTTATAGTACATTTATTTTTATGATTTCTTTTTATGACTGTTGTCTCCATTTCCTAGAATGTGGTGTGCAGGCACTGACATTTGGCCTGTTTTTTCTCCTTTTCCTATAGGAACCAGTATGATACCTAGCACATAGTAAGCATCCAAAATATTCCAGATATTTCTAGACAAGCTCAGACCACCTCCAGCCTCTCAGGTGATTAACATAAAATTCTCTGTTGTGTCCTTTTTATTCCGGGACATGTGTGGGATTGAAATTTCAGTTCCAGAGATTGGAATCTGAAGTTTGGAGAGGCCAACCTCATAGTTACTGCTACCTCCTCCTGCAGACCACACTGATCAAGGGTAAACTCCCTTCTCTTCTTACCACCCCGCTACTTCAATGAGAAGTAAGTAAGGTAGAAGTACAGTTTTAGACAACAACACCTCTCACAGAATGGTGTCTTACAGTAAAGAAGATTCGGTCCATTGGGCAGTGAAATGGACTCATCATTTGAATTCTGCGGTAGTTACTTCTGGTATAGATTTAACTGAGGTTCCTCTTTGTGTGTGAGTAGAGCGAGCACAGCTCATGAGGAGGAAGGCTGGAGTGTTCACTGTCTCCGAGAGTGCATGGGGGTAAAGGCAGGAAGATTAGTGAATGTTTCTAGTATTTCTAGGCATCAGTGAGTCTGTCTTAGTATGGAATGCATGTGTAGAAATATTTTAGGTAGATCAGCACTCTGACTGACTCTCATAGCTAGATGTTTATGGGGACGTGAGCTCACTGCCATAATCTGGGAGCTGGTGGATTGGGGAACTGCTTTCTAATTTGAGAGGCCAGACCTCTCTGACCTGGAGCATCATTTCCACAGCAACCAGTAGTGATGAGATAAGGTTTGTGACCTCTAACAGTAATTCTAACAAGAAGTGGTTGAGCTTTTAAACTGAAAATTTACTCTGTGACCTTGGAGAAATCTCTGTAACTAAATCCATTTTCTCATCTCAGAAATAGAGAAATAAACAGGATATTCTCTTGATAATTGTAAAGAACCCATGTTGGGAAGCACATTTGCAGGTTCACACATTGGCTATCGTAACTGGGTGCTGATCTTAACTGACTAGCCCACTGTGTGACCTGCTGTAGAATTGCTGTGGCCAACACTCCTGATGCTTCTTCTGAGGGGTGTGTGTGTGTGTGTGTGTGTGTGTGTGTGTGTGTGTGTGTGTTTGGGGTAGAGTGGGGCAGAAGGATTGGAGCACACCAAGCCAAGGATCAAAACCTGGTATGCAACATGCCAGGCAAATGCCCCACCCTCTTATTGCTCCAGCCCCCCTATGGGTAGTTGTTTTTAGCCCCTTCCTTCACCTCTCTTTCCAGAATTTCATGCACTCACCTTTTCTGACTAACCATTTAGGCTTACTCCCTGGCTCCTGAATAAGCTCACTCCCACCAGGAGTGAGCTTATTCAGGAACTTTTTTTGTCTTGCTTCTGCTTTCCCCAAGGTGATTCGTTCAGAGTCAGCTTATCAGAGAAACCCCACCAGATCACCCCATATAAAACAGCACTTCAGAAGGGTCTGTCACATAATACCTTATGTTTCTCCCAGCACTGAGTTCATAAGTTTCATGGGACAAGGTTGTTATTTTCTTATTCTTTCTTTTGGGGGAGGCTGCCATACAGAATTGGCACATGGTAGGACATTAAATCCTCCTTTAAAAATTTGTTTTTACTTTATTCATTTTATTTGTTGTTGTTGTGGGGGGTCACCCCTGTCAGTCAGTGCTCTGGACTTACTCCTGGCTCTGTGTTAAGTGATTACTCCTAGCATTGCTGGGGGACTGACCATATGTGGTGCTGGACATTGAACCCAGGTTGGCTGCATTCAAGGGAAGGTCCTATGTTATTCTGTCGCTCCAGTCCCAATTTATTTTATTTTAAGGAACCTTCTCTAAGATTATAGATGTAGCAAATGAGTGGTAAACCGTGATTTAAACCCAGAATGGACACCAAGCCTCGGTCCATTTTTTCTTTCATTCATTTCTTCCTTTGCTCTTTTCTGTCTCTTACTCCTTCATGCCTCGTGCCTTCCAAGCTTACCCCAGCCTGCAGTACCCTTGGCTCTTGATACCATTCAACCAACATACTGCTTCAACCCCAGATCCTAATAAAAAACTTCTCAGCTCAATTTTTACGGTTTTGGAAAACCTATAGTTTGGCATTTGAAATGGCAACAACTGATCTGGTCAGCAGACTTCAAGCAGATGGATCAGGCCACCCAATCTCCATTTCCTTCTAAACAGAAGCCGAGTGTGGTTGAATGTGCATGTGTGAGGAATGATTTCACTAAATTTCAGACATGTAACAGATGTAGAAAGGATCGCTGATCATTTTCAGGAGCGTGCTTCAATGTACTATCATTTGGAGGTATGATTTTTGTTTGATCATTTTAATTTTGTTACCTAATGTTGGGCTGGAGCTGATAGCACAGCTGGTAGGGCATTTGCCTTGCATGCGGCCTACCTGGGTTTGATTCCTCCACCCCTCTCAGAGAGCCTGGCAAGCTACCGAGAGTATCTTGCCCGCACGGCAAAGCCTGGCAAGCTACTCGTGACATATTCAATATGCCAAAAACAGGAACAAGAAGTCACAATTTGTTGTGAGATGTTACTGGTGCCCACTCGAGCAAATTGATGAACAACAGGAGGACAGTGTTACGGTGCTACCTGATGTTATATGTTAAGTTATAGTTGTCCTCTTATGGGAAGGATGGGGTTTACACCCAGAGGTACCCAGGTCTTACTCCTAGTTCTGTGCTCAGCAGTCACTTCTGGTGGACTTGGGGGACCGTATGCGGTGCTGGGGATCAAACCCAGGCCAACTGCATGCAAGACAAGCCTGCTGTACTATCCCTATTGTCTTTTTCTTTTATGTTTATTTATTGAATCACTGTGAAATACAAAGTTACAAACTTGTTCAGGATTGAGTTTCAGTCATACAATGTTTGAGCACTCATCCCTTCACCAATGTCTACTTCCTTCCATCAGTGTCCCCAGTTTTCCTCTTGCTCCCCAGCCTCCCTCTATGACAGACTCTTTTGTGTTTTCCTTTTAGGCACTGTGGTTTGCATGAATATCACTTTACCTCCTTTCAGCATCCAGCTCTTGTCCAGAGCGATCAGCTCCTACTGTTATTGTCTTATTGTTCCATTCTCTGCCCTAACCTTCCTTCCCACATTGTGGGAAGCTTTCTATAAAGACCAGCCCTCCTGGTCTTAGAATAATATCTTTGGGTACTATTCTTCTACTGTGTTTCTCTATATCCTGAAAATGAGTGCTGTCATTCTATGTGTGTCCTTCTCCCTCCGACTCCTTCCGCTCACATGATACTCTCCATATCTGTCCTTGTATAAACAAATTTCATGGCTTCATTTTTCCTAACAGCTCCATAATATTTCATTCCTTAGATGCCCCACAGCTTCTTTATCCACTTGTTTGTTCCTGGGCACTTGGGTTGTTACCAGATTTTGGCTATGATGGCCATATTTGAAATCCTTTGGGGGCGTTAGTTTATTTCCCAGATAGGTAAGACAAACAGTTCAAGTGTAAATGGTTCCATACTTCTGGATATTGTGGCTGAGAATTTCATCCACCAAACCAATATTTGAGATACATTTCTTTAATTTTCTTGAACTGAACTAGAAGAGTTACATTTCCCATGTCATGATGATGCTTGCTCAGACTGTTTTCAACTCATTTATATGTATTTGAATTGCCCTGAGAAGCAGCCCTGGGGGTTTTCTTGAAGTAACATTGTGACTAAAGTTGGTGTACTGAGCAGCCGGGCCTTCTTTTCCACAGTCCCACACTTTCTGTTCTGCTTGGCTTTTTCTAGGGAAAGTCCGGTGGCGGGACTTCAACCAGGAAGCTTACATCGGAGGGACAATGGTCCGCTCTGGGCAGGACCCCTATGCCCGCAACAAGTTCAACCAAGTGGAAAGTGACAAGCTGCGAATGGACAGAGCCATCCCTGACACCAGGCATGACCAGTAAGTAACACACAGCCAGGAGTCAACCTTGCTCTTGTTTTTCCAAAACCCCCAAGGAACTGAATGTTTGTTGTGCCTTTATGGGGTAGGAAACTTTGAAAAAGTACTATGGATGTGTTACTTAACCTGTTAGAAAGCCAAAGAACTGATCTGTATTGGATCAGGTTCTAGTCTTTCAGATACTCCAATGACAGTAGCTGGGGACTGACCAAGACTGGGTGTTGGCAAGAAAACATTGTATTACTGACTTCATGTTCATTGATCACATGTGAAATTTTAAATCCACTTTCAAAGAAAGTACAGGTTCCATGGTTTACAGCCTTGCTGGAAGAACGGAACTAAATTCTTGTTTATTGGTATAATTTAAGAATGTATAGCTACTAGAAAAGGGAAGGAAGGGCTATTGCTGTAGCATCAAAGGGTTTATGTGCTTGCTCTGCATGCGGAAGACCCAGTCACTTAAAGGATCTGGCACTTGACGGTGCAGGGTACCAAATATCTGTGTCACCCCCTAGGAAAGTGATATCTACAACCCTCATGGCCACTCAGCACCTTGAACCTTGTTGATAAGAATCTTTGATTGGGAGACTGTTCATATTGAGATTCATAGAGGGTGAGTACTGATTGAGATTTAAAAACTTAAGAATCCACATTTAGGAGGTAGCCATTTGCCTGGAAACTTGGTGCCTTCCTGCTCACCAAGTCACTTTGAGTCATTTATCCCGCATGTAGGGAAACATGGTTTAAATATCTACAATCCAGACACTGTGCTCAGGTGTTGAGATTCCAGTCAGAAAGTCTTGCCCCAGCTTGGCAGGTGGGAATGACAGGTGACCCAGGAAATGAGGACATAGAGCGGTCAGAAGTGTAAAGGTCAGGAAAGACCCAGGAGGTATGAGTTCTGAGCTGGAGACATCTAGTAAGATGGAAAGTAAAGCAATCAAGGCTTTACTCCAGAGAGCCAGTGAAGGTCTGCTTCCTCTTCAGGTGTCTTGGCAGAATTGAGAGGTGGGTAAGCAGAATGGTGTCATGGTCACGGTTCTCCCGTTGTTCATCGATTTGCTCGAGCGGGTCCAGTAACATCTCCATCATGAGACTTGTTGTTACTGTGTTTGGCATATCGAATACGTCACAGGTAGCTTGCCAGGCTCTGCTGTGCGGGCGAGATACTCTCAGTAGCTTGCCGGGCTCTCCGAGAGGGGCAGAGGAATCGAACTCAGGTCGGCCATGTTGGCTGCGTGCAAGGCAAACGCCCTACCCAAAAAAGTCAGCTCACAAACATGTTTTAAAATTTTGCTTTCCAGGCCAGAGCAGTAATACAGTGGGGGACGGTATTTGCCTTGCACACAGCCAACTTAGATTTGATCCCTGGCATCCCCCAAGCACCGCCAGGAGTAACTCCTGAGCATTACTGGGTGTGACTCAAAAAGCCAAAAAAAAAAAAAAAACCAGTGCTTTCCATTGAAATTAATGGCTTACATTAAAAGAGCACCTTCTCCCCTATCTTAACTTTTTCTCAAGAGGATGGGGAGTAGAGGAACTCCCACACCATAATCAGGAGGTCTGGGGGGCCCAGCACCTTATCTGGCAGTATTTGGGAAACTCCAAGGCTGCACTTGTTTGGGGATCCATGTGGTACTGGGACTTGAATCCTTGTTGAATGCATGACAGGCCTGCACCCTAACCAGGTTGCTATGTTGTCTCCCAGTCTCTTCTCTTTCTTTTAAGGAACTTTACTAACAGTGTCATCATAAGTTAAGTGCCCAGTATTTGCTTCCATTTCTTAACAGCTTTCTTTGGGTTGTGATCAGTTCTCTTTCCTTGTATCACACATATATAAAGTAGATTCACAGTTATTTTTGGCTAAGAGAGTGTGTGTGTGTAAATGTGTATGATATTTTTAGTGTATAAAACTTATGATGGGTATATAGTCCTTATGTTGTACATAATAATATAAGAATCAAATAACTTTCCTAAACATGCTTGAGCGAGCCCAGTAACGTCTCCATTGGAGACTTTGTTGTTACTGTGTTTGGTATATCGAATACGTCACGGGAAGCTTGCCAGGCTCTGCCGTGCGGGCGAGATACTCTTCTGGACTATGTTTAGAAATACCCGTGACGTATTCCTAAACATAGTCCAGAAGATTGTCTTTGCCTTATATGTTCCGTTATCAATTTCAAATGCAGCTTTATATAGCTCTTAAACTGTACTCCTGGAATAGGTTAGTGATTAATACTAAAGTAGGAGTTGTTAGGTGTCCAACGACAGGTGAATGGATTATGATGTGTTATACATACACAATGGAATACTATGCAGCTGCAAGGAAAGATGAAATCATGCAGTTTGCAGTAATATGGTTGGAACTGGAAGATATCACGTAGAGTGAAGAGAGAAGAAGAAAGACAAACATACTATGATCTCACTTTTCTGTGGAATATAGGCTGGATGAGGAAATATATTGTGGTAAAAGAGGGATGTTTAGATTACCCTTAACCCCAGTGTTTAGAGCGGAGATGGAGAACGAAAGAAATCAAGGGAGTGGGGGGAGAAGAGAAAAAGAAGTAATAGGTTAACAGGCATCAGGGCTTCAGTTATACCAGTAATATGAATGAGGGCTATAGCCCACTCAGATTCAACCCAAAACACTGATTCAACATAACTGAAAACATGAGATCTAAGCTGCAACCACTGAAACTTTGTAATGTGTCTGTCAAGTTGACAGGTCGGGGAGTGGAGTGAGGGTTGCTTTGGGGAGGGAATCTAGGATCACTGGTGAAGGGAAGTCGACCCTGGTGAAGGGTTTGCTGTTGAATTATTGTATGCGTAAAACACAGCTATCAGTAACTTTGTAGATCATGGTTCTTTAATAAAAAACAATTTAAAACAGAAAACATGGTACTAAAAAATAAAATACGGGGTTGTTGACTTAGAACCCAAGAGAGCTATATATCATCTCTGGGACTCTGGGACAAGATATATCTGCATATATAGGATGAGAGTCCCAGGTGAGTACATCCCCACTCACCCTCTATCCCTTTGTACCTAGCCAGTGCTCCTGAGGCCATTCTCAAAGTCCTCACAACTTACTGTGGTAAACACTAAGTCTGTGCTTACTGCATGGAGAGCAGCAAAAGCCCCCAGAGTGTTAATACCTTGCCTGCTAATTAGGGACAACTGCCTAAGAACATTAAAATCCAGACAGAACTTTTCAAAGGGCTTGGCATAGACATTGGAGTGCAGTTAAAACACTTATCTTTAAAACTCTTTATCTGGTAACTGGAATTGTCTGCTTGGATTTATAGCTCCGTGAGTTTGACTCTTTGGGTTAAGAGTTGATTTCCCTGCTGAGACTTTCCCTCTATATATGCTTTCCCTTAGAATAAAGAGAAGATGGTGTCCTTTCTGGTGACCTGTCAATATTTGGCCTGCCTGTGCCACAAGTCCCTCAAATGACCTCTAAATTATATCTCTTTATATTTTGGGGATTTGAAATATGAGTATATTTGAACCAGTTTGAATGTTCATCGTGTGTTTTGAGAGTTACATTTTTGTTCCAATGACTGTGTCATATTCATTCATATGGTTAAGGAACAGCTGACGTGGCTTCATTGATGTTGGCTTTGGACTGAAAGTCCATTCAGATACAGGGTGGGGCCTCAATCCCAGTGTGTAGTCAACCACACCCACTTTGTAGGAGAGAACTGGGAACCCATGGGGACCTCCATCGTAGAAGCAAAGATGTGGCAGAACCTCAGCTCTTCTGCATGCATCCCTACAGCTCACACTGCTTTCTGCCCAGTCTCAGCTCTGAGAACACCCTGGTTGTGCTAGAAGAATGAATCCAGACAGATAGGATTCTGCATGACTGCCACTAATGGGAGTTCTCACCACAGAGACCTGCTGGACTGTGGCTTCAGGGTCAGTGTGGGACTTGTGTAATTCCAGGACAAGTTTCCAAAGGCTGCAAGCAATGAGCTCATCAATAGGTCCATGAATAGATGCTACTATATACAATCTGCCTTTTATTTTCTTTATTTGGCAGTGAGGAATTGAAATGCTGAGTCACATTCCCAGCCTAGTTACTTCTTATTTTCTGTTCTTCTGTGTAAAAAGGGATCAAGGGTTTGGGACCTGGTCAAAAATAAACAAAAAATTGCACATTAATAATATTTCATTTATTTTTTGAAATAAAACAAATTTGGAAAATTAGAGGATGGGAAGGAATAGAAGAGAAGAGAAGAAATTGATTTTAAGGAGTTTGCTTATGTGACTACCCTGTGACTGTTGAAACCGGAAAATCTCTAGAACAGGCCAACAGCCTGGAGACCCAAGGAGGTGTTGTAGAAAAATAAAAGGCATTGCCAAAAAATCCCACCAGTAGATTGTAAGACCCAAGAAGAAACAAGGAAAACTGAGAGCTAAGGAGGGAGCTTTAGTAACAAGATTCTCTGCAGTGACAGGCACTGCAGCAAGAGCAAGGAGGAGGAGATGAACCATGAGAAGAGGAGAGAGACAGCACATTGACATGGGAACTGAAATTCTGCAGTGGATTTGGTGGGAATGTTTCCCACGTTCAATCATGGTTGAACACTGGATAAAGAAACTGTGGGTTGTAGAATATAAAATAACATAATATGAGACGGACACCCAAGATCAGTAGACACAAGGGCCAGAAATATTGCCCCCCTCATTGGAAGCCTGTCTCATGAGATGGGGGAGGAGGCAGCTGAAATAGAAAAGGGATCACTAAGTAAATGATGGTTGGAGGAATCGTTCGGGATGGGAGATGTATGCTGAAAGTAGATAAAGGACCAAGCATGATAACCTCTTAGTATCTGTATTAATCACTTAATCACTTAACTTCCCGTTAGTCATCGATTTGCTCGAGCGGGCGCCAGTAACGTCTCCATTTGTCCCTGTCGCGTGCTAGTGTAGCCCAATGGCATCTGTTCGCTCCGGGAACATGAAGGGCCTCAAACCGATCGTTCATGATCTTG